GAGCTGATATGTTTCTTAAACGTTAGTGTTTTAGCTAGTATGATGCCCAGATATTTGACTTTGTTTTTGATTTCTATCACAGTGTTGTTTAGTTTGATTACTTTCATGTGATCTAGCTTTCTTTTCCGTGTAAAAGTGACTATAGTTGTTTTGTTTGGGTTGATCCCCAAGCCTGCACTTTTACACCATTCTTCTGTGATTTTCAGTCCCTCTTGGATTATGTCACAGAGGGTTTCCTCGAATTTTCCCCTGGCTGTCAGGACTATGTCATCTGCATATCCCTGACATTTTATTCCTGAGCGGTTCAGGGTTTCGAGCAGTTCATCAACTGTTAGGCTCCATAAGAGAGGTGATAATATCCCTCCTTGAGGACATCCTTTTGTTGTTCTAACTTCTATAGTGTTTATTCCTATATTTGTTTCAGCTATTCTAGTTCTTAGAAGTTCTCCAATCTATCTAGATGTGGTTTGGTCTACGTGTTTTTTCCCCAGGGAGACTTCCATTGATACATGAGATGCATTGTCGAAAGCTCCCTCAATATCGAGGAACGCGCAGATTGCTATTTCTTTTGTTCCCAGTGTTTCTTTTAGGTCACTGGTTAGTTGGTACAGTGCAGTTTCTGTTGATCTTCCTGCTCTATATGCATGCTGACAGTAATGGAGAGGCTTGTTTACCAGTGCTGTCGTTCTTATATAGTTGTCTATCAGCTTTTCAAGGGTCTTTAATAAAAAGGATGTTAAACTGATTGGTCTGTAGAATTTGGGGGATGTGGGGTCTCTTTTCCCCATTTTTGGTATAAACACCAACCTTGCCCTACGCCATGTCTGTGGTATATAACCTAGTGCTAAACTGCTTCTATATATTCGTAGCAGTGTTGGAGTAATTATATCCATTCCTTTTTGTAACAGGATGGGAAAGATTCCATCCGTTCCTGGTGCTTTGTACGGGCTGAAAATGTTAATCGCCCAGAGGATTTTCTTCTCTGTGATTATTTCAGCTGCTTTCTTCCAATTCTCTTTCTTGGGATTGTCTGCTCTCACATTTTCTGGGGAGATGTTGTAGGTACTGCCTGGAAAATGTGTACTTAGAAGGAGCATTGCTTTTTGTTGCATGTCTTCTGTGTATTTGCCTTCTGTATTTCTTAGGGCCTTACCTGAAATTTGGTGTTATCCATCATTTTGGTCTGCTTTTCCTTGCTGGGTTGTTCTGCCAAACATGTTTCATCATTTTGCATCTTCAGTGTGTCTGTCTTAAATTTATACTAAAATACACCTTAAATTTGGTGTAGTAAGATTAAAATGTATAAGAAAACTTTAATAGGGAATGAAATAATAATGCAACGGTTTTATATATTTTAGGAGAAGATATAAGAAGAGCTTTAAGATGGTCTGAAGGCCTCGATAATGTCTTCCAACAAAATTACCTTGCAGATCCTACCATTTCTTGGCAATATTTCGGCAGCCCTACCGGAGCTCTACGTCTCTATCCAGGTTACTTTTAAAACACTTGCAAATTATCAAATTTACCACCAAGTTTTTTCTATTTTATTTGTGTTTATTCCAGCGTTGCATTGGAGGAAGCCAAGGCATCCTGACCATGTTGACACATTCGACTGCCGGACACGTTTTTGGTACATTGAAGCTGCAACATGTTCCAAAGATGTTGTCATACTTTTAGACAATTCCGGTTCGATGTACGGAATGAGGAATACAATAGCAAAACTTACTGTTTCAAAAATATTAGACACCTTTAGCAATAAAGATTTTATTAATATTGTGATTTTCAACACTACAGTAATGGAAGTTGTGCCTTGTTTCCCTACTGATACGCTTGTCCAGGTGTATTATAATAAATTAAATAAAATTAAAGTCTTTAACCATTAAAATGTTTTTCAGGCGACACCAGAAAATATTATGACTTTTAAAAGAAGTTTAGATAAAATAGAACCTGAAGGTAAAGGAGATTTTCCAGGAGCTTTTGAATTTGCATTTAAACTTTTAGCTAAGGTATAATTTTTAAATTGACTTTTATTTGGTAAAAGGTTTAATTTTGTTTTGTCTTAAGGTAAGAGAGAATAAAACATGCGAGGAAGGTGTTTGCAACCAAGCTATTATGCTTATAACTGACAGCATACCTGAAAACTTCACCTTAGTCTTTGAAAAATACAATTGGTTTGATAATCGTACGCGTATACCTGTCCGAGTCTTTACATATTTGATCGGGCTTGAAGTCATGAATAAAAGAGAAATCAAATACATGGCGTGCATGAACCGAGGTTATTTTTAAACTATAAAATATTAAAATGTTTTAATATTTTGAACATTGCATTGATTTAGGCTACAATGTACATATAAAGTCATTGGAAGAAGTTGGGAGTCAAGTTCTTAAATACATTCCTGTGATTGCAAGGCCAATGGTGCTCCAAGAAGTTGAACATCCACTGACATGGACGCATATGTTCACAGATGGAGCGGTACATTATTTAAAAAATTTAAGTCTTCATTTTATATTTATTTTTTTAAACTTTTAGGGTGACCCTGATGAAGATGATGATCTGGAAAATGATGTCAGTGAAAAAATTCAGTACAGATTCATGACTTCTGTTTCAGGGCCTGCGTACGATCGAGCTAATCTAAAAAATAATGAGGTAACATCATTTTACATTCAATTCCTACTCCAATATAATTAATCTCTTTTCTGTTCATGTTCCATACAATTATACATTGCATTTTTTAAACAATAAAAATTGCAGAAATTATTTATTGATTTGTCAAAAACTAGCTATGCACTAGTTTTTCAGTTATGTTTTTTATAAATAGACACAAGTTATCTTCATGAAGTTAAACAGATTGGATTTTAGTCAATTCAGGCTTCCTTACTTGGCATTGCTGGAACTGATGTTCTTATATCAGATATAAAAGGTCTCACAGTACCTTACAAGGTAAAAAATATTGTTGAAAATTAATTTTAAAACATCACTATCATCTATGTGATTTTAAGATAGGAGCTAACGGTTATGCGTTCCTCATTACAAATAACGGATACTTGATGTTTCACCCAGACTTAAGGCCTCTTGTGAGTTAACATTTTATTTTATTTTTAATTTAATTTACGGTTTTAACATTTTAAATGGACAACTATAGCATAACGGCTTGAAAAAACGCAACTACAACAGTGTCGATCTCACTGAGGTGGAATTTTTAGATGATGATAATCCAGTTGCAAGAGATCCAAGCCCAGAAATACTCGAGGTAATGTAAAGTCATAATTTTACAGCATGAATATTTGGTCAATTGAATATATTTTTCTATACATCTCTCCACACAGTTTTCTGATTTTAAAAGAATTTGCGTAAAAAAAATAAAAAAGTTAAGGACAGGCACACTTGGAAGTCCAGTTTTGATCTAGCTGAATAAGTTCGCATATCAGCCAGAATGATTTTATATTATTTATAAAATATTTGTATTTCAGTTAAGAGAAGCAATGGTTACAGAAACAGAAGGAAGTCGGTTCGGTTTGAAGATTAAATTTCACTATGACAAAAAGGTATTATTTCCTTTGCATATATGTAATATTGCATCTTTAATTGAAATCTCTTATAATGAAAGCTCAATGAGCATGTTTCTAGAGGCGTGTGGGTGTCGAAACGAGGAATTATTTCTTTGCTGCATTAAACAACACACCTTTTACTATGGGGCTTGTGCTTCCTTACTCATATGGAAATCATTGGATAAAGGCTGGCGATGAAATAATGAAATCGCAACAAATGGGTAAACAATTTTTTTCCTTATATCTGTGTATCAATTTTAGTAATTGTTTTGAATTTTCAGGTATTCCTTTGATCAATCATTTTAAAGGAAATTGGAGAATTCATCCTGAATGGTAATAAAATTTGATATATATTTTTTCTAATATTAACATATAACATTTTTTAGGATTTATTGTGACTATCACAGGACAAAGCTGGTTTTCAGCTCATCAGAAGATAAATTGGTACATTTTCTAAAAATGATGTCAAACCCAAATTGGGTCTGGAAGGAAAAATATTCAAACGAAGAGGAATATTCAATATGTATTACTTCTATTCTACTAAAACGTCATTTTTTCTTCTTTACTTTACTGTAAAATTTTATTTACAGATAACTGCACCAGGCCAGAGGTCAAAGAAGGTGAATATTACTGTAAGTAGACAATTTGAGTTTGTTATTTAAAGTCAACTATGTAAAAATTATATTTACTTTCAAAGGCGATAAAGAACTCTTACAATTGTTGGTTTTTGACGCTAAAGTCACAGAAGGCTCATACAGATCTACAATTTGGGCTGCTAAAAATCGCAGAGAGTAAGCCATTTTGCTTTAGAACAATTAACAGCTTTATTGACACATCTAGAAGGTTTTTGTGATTGACAATGGGATTGGCATTTTATTACAAATCCTGATATTCCATTTCCAGATTTTAATAAGGTCTGGCATCCTTATGTTTCTACCCACCCCTTTTAATGTTATGCTGGAATCCTATTTAACTAATTGATGTTTCAGAGAAAGCTACGGAAAGGAATACTCAGATATCAGATCAATACAACCCAGTGTCCCACAAGGGAGCATTCTTGGTCCCTCATTTACTGCTGACTTTCCTATATAACCCGACACCATCATTACAAATTTAGTTTACACCACATTTTTTTTCTTCTAATCAAATCGCAAAAATTATAGGACAAACCTTGCTGAGGAAAACTGTACCCAGTGTACATTTATTATTCAATCCATCCTAACCCTACTGCCGAAACCATTTCATCACTTTCCCAACTCAAGAATTTCATTAACTCAAAAAACTCTTATATTATTGATTCATATATTTGCCATTTTTAATTAGTTAATATTTTATAAATGTTTAAAGGAAATTAAATATAAACTTTTACTGTTTATACGTAGGGAAGAGTTAGCAGCCAATTTTGGTGCATCGTTGCGTTTTGTAGCTACGCAAAGTGGCTTAACTAGGTGGCAAAATATACCAGATCCCATCGATGATAATGACAAGTTTGTTAAATCCTCTATAATTATTATTTATCTATTTTTTAAAACAAATTTAATTTAATTTAACAGATCTTTTGGTAATGAACATAAAATGGCACTAGATGAGGTTTGGTATAAAAGCGCTGTTTTACACCACCAGTTAGACCCTGAAGCGTTCGTTTTCTCCGTACCTTTTGAATCAGGAGAGACTGAGAATCTGACTGTCACAGCGAGCTATGCTATTTTCCCAAGGGACGGCGGCAATGAAGCCCCTGGTTCTGTCGTCGGCTTGCACATTCAGCATAAAGCTTTATTGAAAAGATTTATGTCAATAACGTCAAACTCTAAAGTACTAGAGTCAATTTAACCTATCTTATTCGTTTATTTTATATTCAATTATTCCAGCAATGTCCGAACTGCCCTACATGTTCATCGGATGAAATAGACTGTTACATCATTGACGGAAATGGCTATATAATTGTGTCTGAAACACTCAACGACACTGGAAGATTCTTTGGAGATGTTGAAGGTGCTATAATGGAAGCTATGGAAGCTAAAGACATATTCAGAAAAATAGATATTTTCAACTATCAAGGAGTTTATTATTTCCCAGTGGAGTCTTCCAGCGGAGTGGACATTTTATGGACGGTAAGATTATGCGCATAAATTTGTTAAATATTTGTTTCTTATTAAAGTTATTTTTAGCCTTTTAAAGTTGTTTTCTTGTTGATGAAATATTTCATTGGAAATCTAATATGGACTCTGTTAGAGAATTCTTTATTTTACAAAGTACAGGCTGAATTTGATGATTATGGTAAGTATATATTAAAGTAGTTAAGAACAATATTGAATAATTTTTTTATTACAGACTACTATAGTGAGCTTGAGTACATACCTGTTGATACTTTCAAAGAGGATATTCCGGAACAGTTCCATACAAGATTGAAAGATGAAAAGCCTAGGTTCACTAGGGAGCCCTGTGATGAAAAAGGTCAACTGTATTTACTTCAGCAGTTGCATAAAGTTGGATACCATTCTGTAGAATCAGCAAACTGTTCTCGGTAAGCGTTTATGTGGATTTAAAGGATACTTGCTTTTACTAATTTTTTTTTTTAATTTAAGGCCATTTCATGTCAAACGGATTCACCATACGAATTTGCTTCTCATTGTCGTCGATGCACTTTATCAGAGTTGTTATCGTAAAGTGAGTGCAAAAATGACTAAGATAGAGTACAATGAATCTGTTTCTCTGAGCTGTCAAAAGCTCAATCTCAATACATTACCAAGAAGAAGACTGTCAGGCTGTTTCAATGCCCATCCATTGGTATATTATCAATTTCCTATCTGAACATAATTTAAAAACTAACTTTTATTACAATTTTAGGAAGCTTTCATAAATGACTGTGGTAATACAGGGCTGTCTATTCATTCCAGTTCATGTTTGTTAATTACGCTCTTACTTTTAGTCTTTCATGACAATTTTTATGCGTTTATTGTTGATCAAATGTTAAATTAAGTTGATATTGAGAAATGCCTTTTTATAAAATATACTTTGATTGATTATTCAATTTTATCTTGTCTTAAATATATATATTTTTTTAAACGCCTCCTCAAAATCCTTCTGTGGCAGAATTAAAGGCAGTAAGTGTTTACATTGACCCTCATTCTAATTCCCTTCCCATTTACATTTCGACCTCAGGAAAAGGAGGACAATGCAGCTTCACCATTCCAGGTCTAAAAACAGGCTTTGTCAGCAAGAACCAGGGATTCACATCATCCCAGGTCTCAAACAGGCTTTGTCAGCAAGGACCAGGGTTCCACACCATTCCAGGTCTAAAAACAGGCTTTGTCAGCAAGGACCAGGGATCCACATCATCCCAGGTCTCAAACAGCCTTTGTCAGCAAGGACCAGGGATCCACACCATTCCAGGTCTAAAAACAGGCTTTGTCAGCAACTACTTAGATCTAAGTCTATATTTGTAACAAAATATAATTTTTTGGCTATTTTTATTTTAATTTATTTCAATCAAGATGTTTTTGTTTTAAGGAAATCCCTAAGACAGCCTCGATGGCTAGCGTAAAGAATAAAAAAGTAACATATAATAATGTACTTGCATTTGTTAATAAAAACTTTTTTTGTTATATAGAAGAGCAGATTGTAAACCCTCCCGTTTTTTCTGCCTGCATGTCTTTCGTCATCTGTTACTATGTTTATGTTAAAGGGATGTTACATCATAAATCTACAATTATTTCAATGACATGTCGGTATTACAACTTTTACCAGTAAATCTCAGGAAGGAATATTATTAAATAGAAGACTGTTTAAAAATGTATATTTTCACAATTTCATAATTTGTTTAAAAAAAAAAAAAACATGTGCATAAATAATATATAAAAAAGAAAAAAAAATCGGTGAAATTTTTAGCATATGGGTACATGGGTGGCCACTATGTACTCTTCAGGTTTCACCAAGATCTCTCTAAAAAAAATTTAAAAAAATGGTTCAAAAATCAAATTTAAAAAAAAATCCACATTAATTCCAATTTACAATCAATTACTTTTGCGGGGGTTTCCAATTTGCCTGTAAAGGTTCTTCAGTCTCATCGACTACCTGCAAAGCCTTAACTATCCTAATAAGCTCATCAGTCCCTCGACCCACAAGTGCATCATTAATGCTCATGTGTCTTAGTATACCTTTGTGATCTATTATAAACTGAGCTCTGAAATCCATATTTATATTTTTTTAAAATAAATTATAAAAGAATGTTGATATTATAACGCATACCTGAGTGAATGTCCGGCTTGGGGTAAATAAACACCATACTTTTTGCATATGGTGTGCGAAGGATCGGCTAAAAGTGGAACAATACTGTTCGGAATGCCACCGCTGTTCAAGGTCATATTTAACCACATAAGATGGGCCAAATGGGAGTCAGTCGAACAGCCGATTACCTCTACATTCATTTCTTTTAACTCTGCCATCCTTTCATTTATAGCTAGTATCTCGCTCGCACAAATTTTGTTGCTAAAATTAAAAAAAAAATAAATATAATTTTTTTTTAAATTTAATTGATTCTTACAAATCTTGTGGATAGAAGAAAAGAATGACATAGCTCCGGTCACGGAAATCCGACAGGTCTATGCTCGTCACTTGGCCGTTTATTACAGCCACACCTCTGAAATGCGGTGCAGATTGGGTAACTGTAAAAACACCAATAAAAAATAATTTTAAATTTCTTAATTAATGTTTTTATTAGTTACATACCACAAGGAGGCCTGTTAATATTTTCCTCGGTTGAATTTGAATTACACATGTTTTCTTTTGTCCTGTTGTTAAAATTGTGAGCGTCTGAATTTCCAGTCACAATCATATCCCTCTCTTCCAACAATTCGTCTTCCTCCTCGTCTGACAAGAAGTCTGAATCTGAATTTTGAATCAAAATTGTCTTATTTGATATGATATTAAATTTTTTTTCTTTTAATGACAAGCAGTTTTGGAATTTAAATAGGCTCTTGTCATGAACTTTTGTATTATTTTTTATATAATGATAAAGTGAAGAGTGGAAAAATAAAATCACCTAGCTGGTCTTCAGAGTCAATTTCTACTTGTTTCGCCTTGGAAATATTTTTTTTCACTTTTCTATATTGCTCTTGGATCGAGGAGTGCCTCACGCTGACACTATGCTTCCTTATAACATTTACATCTGCAGTGATCGTAACGCTGCAGAATTTGCAAAACGCCTTGAATCGATTCGGATGAGGCTTAAGCCAGTCTTCGAATTCGGGTAAATTCTGCCAGGCAGGTCGGTACCTTTGGATCCTTCTTTTTAGTCGCAACCTCCTATTTTCAACACTCCTCAGACTGTTCATACTTTCATTTTAAAACCTGCACATGAAAATTTCAACAAAGAAAATTTTATTAAATGTTGGTTTGATCGTTTTTAGAATGCATCTGCTCTTGTTACATATAAATTTTTTAGGAATGAATTAAAGAGCCTTTTTTTCTTTTTCTTTTTTGTAAATATATTTATCCAAAACTACTCATCTTGAGTTACAAAAAAGTTAAATTTTGATTTAACTAACTAATAAATAAATCTACATTCAACCAGTTTACTGCAAATTCTTATTATTTGACCTAAATTGACACTCAACTGTAATGATTGATTATGTCATGTCATGCATATGACAATAATGAAATAAAAAATAAACTTTATTCTTGGACTTAAAGTCCCTTTGAGTAAATTAATTATGAATACAACGGAAGTTAGAAAGAAAATACACTTCTATATAAATTAAACTAAAATGGATATGATGGTGCTCAGCAGATAGAGTAAGGAAAGGAATTTTATACGTTGGCACATGGATGAAAACATGTTTAAAGGGGATAAAATGTACGAGCAAATTTAACGGGAGTGTACATAGGATCTGAAAGTGATATACATGTCGGAAGAGAAATGGGAAGATAATCTGATAGACAAAGGAGCCAAGGAAGTTTTGCCTGCACTAAAATGGTATAACCACTCCAAGTCGGCGTGCCGTTCTGTCAGACCTCTTTGAGACAAAGATAAAACGTACAAAACAATTGGATTTTAAGCTTATCTTCAAGCTCCCCAGTGAGACCTCTGAACACCTTTAAAACACATCCATGATCAAAGTGGGGAAGAATCCCGGGAATAGTAGGATGCCATGGAAATGATGGAGTGTGGAGAAGTAGCGCCAGATAATCTGGAAAATATTGGGTTTTCAGGATAACATACTGATCAAGGCGAATCCATCCAAGGAAAGGAGGAATGTAGAAGCGAACTTTTCAAACTTCAAATTAAGCCCATTTATAGTAGCTAATTGAGTTTAAATCTTCCGGAGTTCTTAAATTTGCAGCTTTCAGTTAGTAGGTGGGAAGTAAAGTAAATTTGGGAGTTATTATATAATGGGAGAAATATTTTATGGATTTAAGGAATTCATTAAGTAACAAAAAAATAAGTGGAGATAGTTGAGAGTTGAGGGACCTAAGAAATCATGGACTGGAGAGAGAATGGAGGGTTAGACGATAAAGATAGGATGGAAATAACTTGATGATCAGACCGGAAAGATTAGAAACAGGGGAAAACTACTCTAAAAATTACTCGCTGGTGTTTCTTAAGAAGGTATCCTCGCATTTACTCCTCGTCCTGCCGATGCCTTCAAGTCTCTAGCCAGTGGACTTTGTCCCGAATAAATCACAAAAGACAATTAGAGCATTGGACGCTGTGTCAATTATTCGTAAGCATAAATAACACAAATCATTGGAAAATTAAGCAACTGAGTCACAATTCAGATAATTTCAGAAAAGTTTAAGCAGACGTGGTGATTATTACAAAAATGGAATTCAGAAAAAAAATATAATACTTTATTGTTACAATAGTTAGAAACATACACAATTCATAATTAAAAAATTGAAAAAAAGCCTTGAAATTCATAACTTAAAAGATCCAATGAGGCTCAACTCGGCACATGTTTGTGCACATGCAGATTTGAGCCTAAATCCAAATCCAAATCTTTTATAAAGAACTATATTTTATTATTATTTCATTTATTTACTTAATTTTTTTTTTTTTTTGTGCAAAAATAAATTAAATTTTAATTTCATTTTTTTGTTCTTGACTTCCCGCAATGTCCAGTGTCACCAGTAGGTGACAGGTCTTAAGTTTTGTATATAGTATTATTGAAAAAAATTATACATTTATTGTACTATTAGAGTGCCAAAGAAACAGAAAATATTAAAACACTTTATTTTGGCGTTGGAGAGTTAAGCATCCATTTTTGGATGTATCCTTTTTTGTGGCAAGGTGATAAATTTTGTACTAACTAAAATACTAAAAGAAAGAAAAATGCCAGGGTTAGATTGTTGGTGTCACCAACTTCTACCAGGGTTCCATACGCTTTATGCTTTACCTCGCATGAGGCTATGACCTTAAGTACCACCTGACTCTCAGAGAAAATGGCAATCTTCATAGAATGGTGATCCTGGTCTTTTTATTTAAAGTCAAATTTTGTACTAACTAAAAAACTAAAAGAAAGAAAAATGACAAGTTTGTTCCATACAAGACAAGAGAGCTTGGTAATGTAAATAAACAATACATTTTATATCAGGGCAGTTTTGCCTAGTAAAGCACAAAATCTATCATTTCGGGGCTCAATATGATTAAAAATCAATATTAATTTTTATTAAAGAATCATGCAGGTGCTACATAATGGCGAAACATATTTAAAACGTTTTGTTTACCTCGAGTATGTTAGACCCGACGTCCAAACAGAACAAAATCATCCATTCAGTCGACAAATGGGTCAAAAAAATAATATTTTGCCTTTTTTGAAGAGATATTTTTGAGATACTCACTTAAAAAAAAAAGCGAGTGGATTCTTTCTTCTCCTTATTTACACGACCGGCTAGTTAAAAACTAAATAAGAAATTAAAGAAAAACAAAACGGTTCCAGTGTTCAACGGAAGAGGGAATCCACATCTGCCCACTGCATAAATCCCTAGCATCATAACAGTACTTGTCCGCCTGTTTTTGAAAACGTAAATTCATAAAAATACTTGGATGAAGTTAAAGCACTCTGCAACATTAAAAGTGCCCAAATACCATTCTCACAACAACAAAATTGCCCATTCACCATTCTCACAACAACAAAATTGACCAAGCACTATCATCACATGAAAAGCTATATAAATACATAGTACATAGTTATATATAGTTTTTTAAATGTATTATTTCTTTACAATATAATCAATGTGCAACTAAATTATGCTTTTGTATCATCACTTTCACTGTCCCAACACAAGCAACCAGGCATTCATCTATGTTTAGTGTACCTTTTTGTAAAACAATTATTTCACAACAATAATATTCAACAATAAATAGAATAATGTGAGAAGAAAATAAGATATGTACAAATATTGTTTTTTTTAATTTATGTTATTTTTTGTGCCTTGTTAATTGTAATTTTGGATATTTATTTTACACAATTGTATTATATTGTCAAAAAAAATTATATTTATTGTTTTTAATAAATCTAGGCCCTGAGTATGGCGTTATAAGTCGCCGAAAGCTCAGTTGAACCTGGAGGCTGTTCTTTTTCTTTTTTTCTCTTTATTTCATCCGTCATGTGACCTCCTGAAGATCCAACTCGTAACAAAAATAAAGATTTCTTTGTGATTTGCCAATTACCCCATATATGTTTAGCTTTCATAATTGACCGTATTTAATTATATTTTTATTTCAACCAAAGATTTTAGATAAAAGTATAATTAATTGAAATTTTTTTGTTATTTTATTATTAATTTTGCTAATATTATTATCTAAAATATGTACATGTAAGGGGGCTTAAACCCGTTAAATAAATAATTAATATAGATTTGTAACCTCGTTTAGTCTAACGATAGCAGACATTTTTGAGGATTTGAAATATTTTTTGGTGTTAAAATTGTTGGGAATTTGGGCGATTTTGAATTAGGATGTTTTGAAAGTGGCACGGAAACTCGAGAGCATGCAGGTGCCGCTTGAGGCGTTGTAACGTATATGAGTGCTTAAGTTCGACCCTTAGCGATCTGCCAAGCACCGCTTCTCAGCTTCTCAGGTCTCGTCTCTAACTCTGTGCTTTTCCTGTCGAAGCTTCAACAAATATTAGTAAACAAAGTTAATTTCCTTCTAGGTCCCGGTCATGCAGCGTCTATATTAAAAAGCGGCCGTCCTCAGGACCCGACCCAGGGCTTATTTCACATTTTTAAGTTTTAACTCTTCGACTTTTCTGCCCCGTGCGGCAAATCGGACGGTTTCGCCGTTCGATGTTTTTCTCCGTCGCTTCGCCGATTTGAATGAGACGAGTGTTTTTATAACAACGGCCATGTCTTCTGAACTGATCGGAGAGCTTGGGTAAATAATTAATTTGGAAATTAATTAATTTTGACGAATTAAAACGTTTCTAAGCGCGTTGAGGTTACACATCTATGTTGCAAGTTACGTGATTTTTTTTTCAATGCTCAAGCTATTCATGCATCAAGCACTACTGCTTTCTGACTTTTTTACCCTGAAAATAGTAGCAACTTATCAAATAAAGATTTGTTTGTGTTTTGCCAATAACTCATCAATTTTCCTTTACATTACGCTGTTTTTCATTACTAGAGAGAAAAATGGTTTATTCATAATGAAAACAATTATATTAAGCTGTTAATCATCATAAGTATCATGTCAATTTATAAAGACTGTAATCTGCTCTTTTAATCACAAAAATCTATCTACATGTTTCCATTATGATTCTAAAGTAAAATTTAATGTTAGAAATCTTTTTTTGCATGATTTTTTCAATGCTCAAGCTATTCGTGCATCAAGCACTAGTGCTTTCTGACTTTTTTCACCCTGAAAATAATAGCAACTTAGCAAATAAAGATTAGTTTGCGTTTTGCCAATGACCCATCAATTTTCCTTTACATTACGCTGTTTTTCATTACTAGAGAGAAAAATGGTTTATTCATAATGAAAACAATTATAATAAGCTGTTAATAATCATAAATATCATGTCACTTTGTAAAGACAGTAATCTGCTCTTTTAATCACAACAATCTATCTACATGTTTCCATTATGATTCTAAAGTAAAATTTAATGTTAGACATCTTTTTTGCATGATTTTTTCAATGCTCAAGCTATTCATGCATCAAGCACTACTGCTTTCTGACTTTCTTACCCTGAAAATAATAGCAACTTAGCAAATAAAGATTTGTTTGTGATTCGCCAATAACCCATTATCTTTCCGTTACTTGACACTGTTTTTCATTACTAGAGTGAAAAATGGTTTATTCATAATGAAAACAATTATAATAAGCTGTTAATAATCATAAGTATCATGTCAATTTATAATGACTGTAATCTGCTCTTTTAATCACTAAAATCTATCTACATTCCATTATGATTCTAAAGTAAAATTTTATGTTAGATATCTTTTTGCATGATTTTTTTTTCAGTGCTCAACCTATTCATGCATCAAGCACTAGTGCTGTCTGTCTGTTACCCTGAAAATAATAGCAACTTAGCAAATAAAGATTTGTTTGTAATACACCAATTACAGACAGTTTTCCTTTACTTTTTCACTGTTTTTCGGTACTAGAGAGAAAAATGATCTATTCTTAATGAAAACATTTATGATTAGCTGTTAATAATCATAAGTATCATGTCAGTTTATAAGGACTTTAACTTTTAAATACTAAAAATATTTAGCTACATTCTATTATATTATTTTTAAAAGTCTCTTCTGCTAGCATATTTCCATTAAGATTTTATGGTCAAATTTGATTGCTATCATTAATTTTACATGGTCAGTGCTGTACAATATTAAGACTAGACATCTCTCTGCATCAGTTCTCATTGGAAATACTCAGTGTAATTCAAATTGATCGACTAGTTAGCAAATTTAAGCCCTGTTATGAATTAAAAGGATTCACCATGGAGGGTTAACATCTATGTTACATGATTTCTTCAATGATTTAACAATTCATGTTTCAAGCACTAGTGCTTTCTGTCTTTTTTACCCTGAAAATAATAGTAGTTTGGCAAATAAAGATTTGTTCGTGATTCACCAAATAACCCATCAATTTTCCTTTACTTTTCATTATTTTTCATTACTGGAGAGAAAAATGATTTATGTACAGTGAAAAAAATTATAATTAGCTGTTAATAATCATAAGTTTCTGTCAATTTATAATGGCTTTAATCTTGTTTTTTAAAACACTAAAAGTGTTTATATCTACATGTTTCCATTATGATTCTAAAGTAAAATTTATTGTTAACATCTTTTGTGCATAATTATTTTCAAACTCAAGCTATTCATGCATCAAGCACTAGTGCTTTCTGTCTTTTTTTACTCTGAAAATTAATAGTAACAACATGTAAATATTTGTTTATTTTATTATTTATTTTATTTATTATTATTTATTATTATTTTTTATTTGTTGTTGTTTTTAAATATTTGTAATACACCAATTACAATCACTTTTCCTTTACTTTTCACTGTTATTCATTACTAAGGGAAAACAATGATTCATTCATGATGTAATTATTTTTTTATAGCTATTATATAATAATAATACTTATAAATTGACATATAGAAAATTTAAGCCCTGTTATGAATTAAAAGTTTGAAGTTACCCATCTATGTTGCATCATGATTTCTTCAGTGATCTAGCTATTCATGAATCAAGCATTAATAGTGCTTTGTCTTTTTACCCTGAAAATAATGGTAATTTAGCAAATAAAACTTTTTTTGTGTTTCACCAATTACCCATATATTTTCCTTTACTTCTCACTGTTATTCATTACGAGGGAAAAAAATATTTATTCATTATGTAAATTTTTTTTTAGCTCTTTATTATATCATAAGAATCCTATATCCATGTAGAAAATTTAAGCCCTATTATGAATTAAAAGATTTCACCATTGAGGTTACTCATCTATGTTGCATCATAATTTCCTCAATAATCTAGCTTCATGCATCAAGCATTAATAGTGCTTTCTGACTTTTTTTATCCTGAAAATAATAGTAACTTAACAAAACATATTATTTGATTGTGATGTGCCTAATAACGATTTTGGTTTTTTAGTCAAGTGGGTCTCACAATTGGCCAGCCTAGGCAGAGACAAATGGACGATGATGGGGATAAAGATGTCGATCTGCTCTCTGATGTCTCTTCCCCCCATCAGTCAGAGCGGAAGAAGCCGCGCTACTCAAACCACAAGCCAAAGAAGTTCCGTTCCGCCTGGATGATGTTCGACATATTTAAAGACTGGCTCAGGCCGCACGCCAGTCCGGAGTTTGCGACATGCATAGTTTGTTGTCGTGTTATTAAAGCTGGGAAAAGCGAACTGGAAAAGCACGCTACTGGTAAACGTCATCTACGAATGTTGAAGATTCACAAAGGAGGAGGTCAGAACTCCGAATCAAAAGAAGCCTCAGTTGAAAATGTGGAAAATGGTATGTTCCTTCCCTGGTATGTTTTTCTTTAACGATTTATATTTATATTATTTTTTAAATTCTAGATAGTAATAGTGACTCAAATTTTGGAGGAAAAGTAGATCATCATTGTAAAGGTGATTCTGTTGATAGTTCACAAAACTCAGCTGATCTCTTATGTGAAGAACCTGTTATTTCTAAAGCAGTAGGTGAGAGGATTTTTAAAATATTTTTTTAATCTGTATATATTTAAAAAAAATGTATTCTTATTTGTGATTTGTACTATAATTAGACAGAAAAATATAATAAACTTAAATTTTCAATCTGGTTTTATTTTATTCTTTATTCTTGGAGTATTTTATGTGATCTTAGTGAAATAAAATCATGGGTGATACAAGAGGATTTTTTTTTAAAATTCCATCTTATGAACAATTTTAGATTTATATATTTTAGTTATTATCAATTTGAAATTTTGTTTTCCATTCTAGTTACCAGGCCTGCTCCTCATTGGAAGGCCACTGCAATTGTGAACGGTCATGTGACAAAATTAGATCTGAACGGATACAAAGGCCGTTACGTGATCTTGGTTTTCTACTGCAATGACTTGTAGGAGACAACAATTTCATTATATACTATTTCCTATCGATTGATCCTTAATAATTACAAAACGGTTTCAGTTCGAAAGTGTGCTCAAGTGAGATAACAGCGCTGAGCGACCGATTGGGTGAGTTTCGATCTCTGAAAACGGAAATCGTCGCATGTTCCACAGACTCTCACCTGGCGCATTTGGTGTGGGTGAAGACCCCGAGGGGCGAAGGTGGAGTCGCTAATCCCAAAATACCCCTGCTCGCTGATCCAAACCATTCCATCGCTAAAGACTACGGGGTTTACCTCAGTGAAAAGGGTCATGCCCTCAGGTATGTTTAAAATAATTTTAAATATAAAAATTCTGTCTATTTGGGTATATTTTTCTAAAATAAAATAAACGTGAATGAAATGAAAATTAAACTTTATTTTTGGATTTAAAATTTTCTCGAATAATGCATTATGAACCCATTTATTTACAAACATTCAAACATGATAAAACTATACAAAGATTTCTATTTACAAAAATAGATATACTAATTAAACTAAAAAGGGATAGTTAAAAATCTTCGGTGCCAAGTTGTAAGGAGAAGACGTAATCAAAGCGACTTAAAGGTGGAAAAGGATGGGGCTTTGGTGGATGATAACCTTAATTTTAAGTCCCCCCATAAGTGAGATAGAAAATGAGAGGAAACCAGGAGATTTACATATACTTTAAAAGGTAGAATGAAAGGTGCACAAGCAGATGTAGGAAATCTTGAAGATATGGTATTTCAGGATAAAGTCTGATCAGGGACAATTCCAAGGTTTTGATATTGGGACAGAAGGAACTAGGATAATAGGTAATTGTAAACAGATGAACAGGAGGGAAATTTTAAGCTTTCAAGTTAAGCCTTTTTTCAAAGCCCTTGGTGCTAATTGTGTCGTCCTGAATTCTTGCAATTGGTCAGCAGGAGGGAAGGAAAGGTAAATTTAGGTTAGGGGATGCGTGAACATGATTGTAGCATTATTTATGGATTTAGGTAAGTCATTAATATAAAAGAAAAGAAGGGAAGTGGAGTTGCTTGCTAGGGGCTCCCGTGATATGGTCTGTTCAAGGAAAATCCCATGGTTTCTTTATGATGTGACAGAATGAAATAGGGCGATTTTTAGTACGAGGTAAGAAATGGAGGACTTTTCTATGTTCAAGTTAAACCCTTAACTTGAAATAACCAAGCCCATCTGTTTCTCTTAACATTTCCTAAAAATAAGATTTTCATTTATTCTACCAACTTTAGGTTTTTTTTTGTTTTTTGTTTGACTCATTGAGGGATTTTTCAAGAAAAGAGGTCTTAAATAAAATTCCTAGCCCGTGCAAGCTAAATTGTTTGTGTAAATTTAACGTAAAAGGTTTATTTGTACAATTTCATCAGTAATTATGATAACATAACGTCTACAATTATTGAAACATAAAAAAATTACCCAAGTATGTGGAATGGTTTTACCTACATGTATCGTCTTTGTTCTAACTTTTTTTTTCTACAGATCACATTTTGTTATTGACCGACGAGGCATTTTGAGGCATATGGCAGTCAACGATTCTCTTGTTGGACGAGGAACTGATGAGTTGTTAAGGCTACTGTATGCGTTTCAGTGTGTCGATGATACTGATGAGCCTCTTGTGGCTGACTGGACACCAAACACTATGTGAGATATTTTTTTAAAATAAAAATTTTACATAATTAATACTTTGGGCTTGATAATTGTATATTAAATTTAGAAATTTTCTGACACATTTGTTTAAAAATTTTGTAGGGTTGGCAAATAAGTGGTTTTTGCATTATTACTAATTATGCCTGCTCTACCAGCTTCTGTTGTAGGCAAGTTGAAAGGCAATATTTCACAATTTTTTTTAGGATTTTGCGTTGAGAATATTGAGGTCTCTTGTTTGTAATGAATTTTTCATCATGGAAGGAAAAAACATTCATTAATGGCTTATTTTTGCTTTTTTATTTCAAAATAGCAAACAAGCTGCAGAGGTCCATAAAAAATATGATCGTGCCTGTTGGGGCCACTGGTCGGTTGCTAGTTTTGAAATAAAAAAACAAAATAAGCTTGGAAGAGAGTAAGAAAAAGGAATTGAGATTTAATTTGAATTTACCTGTCTGGTTAGATAAAGTCCGTAATTTGAATTCCAAAATAAAATATCAGGCCGAGCTTCGCTGGGCTTCTCTTGAACTGGTAGACAGAAGACTTCTCGTTTCCAGAACACTGAAATAAAATAATAATAGAAAAATGAAAAACCTGTACCGAAATTAATAAAAAAGGTAAAGACTTTGAATTTACTATTGGATGCAAAGTAATGATAATGGTTTCAAATTTAAATATTGGAAGCGGAGCGGATTAAAAATGGAAGGAAATGAAAACGATTAAATAAAATTAAAAACAAAGGTGTTTAAAAGTGGTTGATCACAGGTAGTATATGAAGGGCAATTGAATGGGTAAATTTTACAAAGTGGTGAAAAAAAACCGCCCCCCAAAATTAGAATAATTTTCTATATCTTAAGAGGAATGGATCAAAGGAAGCGAATGAATAAAAGAGGGAAGCAGAAATACAGAGAATAGAAAGCAAAATATGGGAAAAAATGACAAGAACAACAGATGAAAATAAAGGAACCAAAAGGGGGAAACACAGGAAATTATTTAGAAAATGGAAGCTGGAGCATTGGGAAGTAGGAAGCAATGAAAACTAGATATTGGAAGCTGGAAATTGGAAGTGAGGGAACATCAAAAGGTAGAAATTGGAAGTGAGGAAGCAGTATTTAGTTTAGGCATTGGACGAGTCAGGTGAAGGTATCAGTAAGTTGACAGGCCTAGTATGAATCCTTGNGGTTGCTAGTTTTGAAATAAAAAACAAAATAAGCTTGGAAGAGTGTAAGAAAAAGGAATTGAGATTAAATTTGAATTTACCTGTCTGGTCAGATAAAGTCCGTGATTTGAATTCCAAAATAAAATATCTTTGGGCTCAGGCCAAGCTTTGCTAGGCGTCTCTTGAACTGGGTAGACATAGATGACTTCTCGTTTCCAGAACACTCTCCAAAATGAAATAATAATAACGAAAATAAAAACCTGTACCAAAATTAATTAAAAAAAAGGTAAAGACTTTGAATCTACTATTGGATGCAAAGCAATAATAAAGGCTTCAAATTTAAATATTGGATGCGGTGCATCTGATCGTTCAGTGACAGATTAAAAGTGGAAGGAAACGAAATGGATTAAATAAAATTAAAAACAAAGGTGTTTAAAAGTGGTTGACAACAGGTAGTATATGAAGGGCAATTGAATGGGTAAATTTGACAAAGTGGTGTAAACAAAACCGCCCACCAAAATTAGAATAATTTTCTATACCTTAAGAGGAATAGATCAAAGGAAGCAAATGAAAGAGGGAAGCAGAAATACAGAGAATAGAAAGCAAAATATGCAAAAAAAATGACAAGAACCACAGACGAAAATAAAGGAACCAAAAGGGGGAAACACAGGAGATTATGAAGAAAATGGAAGTGGAGCATTGGGAAGTGAGGAAGCAATGAAAACTAGATATTGGAAGCTGGAAATTGGAAGTGAGGGAACATTGAAAGGTAGAAATTGGAAGTGAGGAAGCAGTATTTAGTTTAGGCATTGGACGAGTCAGGTGAAGGTATCAGTAAGTTGACAGGCCTAGTATGAATCCTTGATATGGTTTCTACGTCAGCGACATGACACACTTTGTCAGGTCCTGGAAATGAAGACTCGATGCGACCTAGAGGCCATGAAAGCGGTTGAGATTTGATGCTCTTTAGAAAAACAATGTCACCGACTTTTAAGGGAATGGTAGGCGAGGTCCATTTTAAATGTTGCCCAGTGTGACCAAAATGACTGGAACATCTGGGTGAGGCTTCGCCACCTGTTCTGAGGGCAAGTGTCTTCAGGAATGGCTGCTTCGGGAAAGGCTAGCAAGGGTGCACTTATTAAAAAATGATCAGGACAGAGATATTCAACTGCTTACATGGGATCCTCCAACAGGGGATATAAGGGTCGGCCGCTGAGGGCAGACTCAATAGGCAAAGAGAGTACTCGAAAGTACGGGCGGATAAGCCGATAAGACGAACGAGTAAAGACATGGCTGATTTTATCCCTGCCTCCCATAAGCCTCCAAAGTTGGGAGCGAGTGGGGGTTGAAAAGCCATGTAATATGATGGAAGTCTAAATGGTCACAAATATCATGGTTTTGGGCCAGAAATTCTTTAACCTCCCTCAAACAGTTGCGAGCTTCGATAAAATTGTATCTCTGATCAGAAAGAATTGTGTGAGGTAATCCACCAGGTAACAACACGATTCAACGTCGTGAGAAAAGCCTCTGAGGTCATCAGACACCTGTATGAATTAAATGGCTTCAGAATCCTAAAGCCGGAAACACAACGCTACCTGATGCTGACGCTACCCCGGTATGGGAAAAAAGTGTTTATGGGCGGTAAGTGAGCCATAGGAAGCTGAATCGATCCATAATGGATCATCCGGTGGGCGGCTTAAACTAAGACTGAATACGGAAAGGATTAATAAAACTAAAAACAAAGGAGTTTAAAGGCAGTTGAAAGGTAAAATGTACAATGCGATACTCCATACATTGTTAATGACCCAGGGTGAATTTTAAGACTAGTTGATGATGGGTTTTGGTATGCGAGTTGGTGAACTCATGTTGAACCAGTTTAAAACTCGCAAGTGGAGATTGACGCTGTGCTGGTTCAATAAGACTAGGTTGGGTTGTTTTGCCTTATCCTCGTATTTACGCTGACATCACTTAATGATCTTTCCAGAACTCTGAATGGAAAAACATTGGCGAGGAGGCAGGCAAAAAGCTCTGGTCAGTTTTTAACAAGTGTACCGATATGATTGTATATGTAGTGCTAGCATTTCTGGGTTCAAATCCTGATAATAATTTGTAAATAAGAATTGTAAAATGGTAGTTGGACAGTAAACCCTCCCATAGGACAGGAATTATTTTACTTTTTACCTCAGGGGTTTTATGAACATGGCATAACAGAATTGGTAAACATACGTAAAAAAGTTTATTAAACAAAAAAGGGCCAATACATAATTGATATAGTATGTACTATATATATTCAGTAAAATTTAATTGCGCTCGTAAAAACCGAATGAACTTATTTGCCAACTCAAAATTAAAGAAGTTCACTTTTTATTAACACGCACAAATCGGATTTTAAGTTTGAGGATAAGGCCTTGTAGTTGTCGTTTTATAATAAATGTTTAATCTTTTCCAGGTAAAATTTTCGCTGTTCAATAGATGCTCGCAGTCAAATTCAAGTTACCTTGCCAATTAGTACCAAAGAGTGCTTTTTATTAATTGGATTTGTAGCATTTTGAATTGCTACATAATTGTATAATATTTATAGGAGTTATTTTTATGAGAATAGACACTACATTAAAAAAAATGACATTTTGTACTTTGAAATTGTCATTGATAACTAATAAGTTTCCATACGTTTATTAAGCGTAAGTTATTATTTGAAATGAGTGTTTTTCAATTTTATAACTTTTTTCTTTCCACGTTTTAAAATACTATTACATTCTTCCTTTATTATCAGTATTCCAAATCCATAGGTACTTATTATTATTATTTTTTTGTTTGTTTTGTTTTAATGAGCATTAGGTATTTTATAACCAGTTAATGTGTTTCACATGCTGTGTTTGAAATTCACTAAGAGCGCAATACTTTTATGTTAAAAAACAAAAAAAATCCCCATTTGTTAAAACAACCAGATTTCTCAAGATCTCATCTTGATTTGCTGTCAAATTGATCGGAAGACGTTTATGTTATCCTTACAGACTTAACAAGTTGTCATACATCTGACTAATTTTGGGTTAGAAGACTAATATTTTAAAACTTTATAAAAGTCCAATTGATAAAACTTATTTTATTTTTGTATTTTTTTTTCCAGGGAGGATGAAGAAATGCCGAAAAAAGTTCCCTGACAGAAGATTCTTTGTATGCCGATAAGCCAAGAGTAAGACTTTTTTTGGGGGTTTGCTGTACTCCGAAAAATAGGTCAAATCATATTTGAATATTTGGATGATGTACATTCTATAAACGAAATAAAATTTGAATAGAATTATTTTGATAATATAACCAATTTTGACCGGCGGTCGAGATTCCTTCGTATTGAAAACAGACAGTAAAATTATTGTTTTTCTTACCAACAGGTTTAAATTTTAATCACTTTTTAATTTTTCTTTTTAGTCAGTAATTACGGCAAAATATATTTGATTTTTTTTTTTTGACATTTTCATATTTATTAATCTATAAGACAAGACATGAGAAAGAAGAATGTAATTAGCGATAGTTAGTTGCTTTAATTTTTTTTGGACATGTAGTTATACAAGTTTGTGAATTACTCATAAACCGAACAGATTTTTGTACATTCAAGTTTATTGTTTTAAATAAACAGATTACAATAAAAAGTTATTGAAGTCCTCTACCATCAGTTTTTTTAGATTATGACCACTAAGCGAATATGCAAAAATTTTCATTCATAACATGAATGAAGAGTTCGTAAATTAATTTATGAAATTATAATTTGAAAATTTATTGTGAGACAAAAGTGGATTTCTGCAGCCAGGTAAGCAATTTTAATTAGTAAGCAGCAACAGTGGTGAGCGACTCATCACTGTCTTTGGTTTGAATCTCAGCTGTCAAAAATTTGTACCCACACTACTCACAAATAGGCTTTTTTCAAAAATGCCCGAACCCAAGGTTTGATATGACCATTTTTTCCATTTGGAGTTGTAGAGATTTCTTTCTTAAGCATTTAAACTTTCTTATATTGTGTCCAGTCTTTGCAGCTGGTTTTCCTTGCCAATTTTCCTTTCTTATGAAGTACAGAAATGTTGCTCAAGAATGGCTTTCCTAGGTAGCCTAACTTTTTCCTAGCTTAAACTTTCTTCTATTGTATCCAACCTATGATGATGGTTGCTGTGGAAGATTTTAATTTTTTTATTTTTTTAACAGAATTCTCAAGGGTATGATATCAAAATTTACATTGCTCAAGAATGGCTTTCCTAGGTAGCATAACTTTTTCCTAGCTTAAACTTTCTTCAATTGTACACGACCTATGATGATGGTTGCTATGGAAGATTTTAATTTTTTAACAGAATTCTCAAGTGTTTGATACCAAAATTTACATTGCTTAAGAATGGCTTTCCTAGGTAGCATAACTTTTCCTTAGCTTAAATTTTTTTTCCATTGTATCTGACCTACAATGATGGTTGCTGTGGAAGATTTGAATTTTTTGACAGAATTCTCAAGGGTGTTATATCAAAATTTACACTTCTCAAGAATAGCTTTCCTAGGTAGCATACTTTTTCCTAGCTTAAACTTTTTTCTATTGTATCCGATGATTGTATGATGATGGTGGCCCTGGAAGATTTCTTGTTTTTTTAATAAGGACAGAATTCTTTTCAGGGGTATGACATAAAGATCACTGCTCAAGAATGGCTTTCCTAGTTAGCATAACCTTTTCCTATATCTCTTATCCTTCTATTGCATCTGAGCTATGGTAATGGTTGTTCTGCGTCGTTTCTTTAATAAAGTATAAAATTATATACAAATACATGTAGGATGTGAGAAAATGAAATTATACAATGCTAGAAAAAAAACTCACTCAAGTGTTTGTTTTCTGTGTACAAATGTTTATAAATCCCAGGCGCTGAAGATGATCTCAATAAAGATCGAAACATTGGTACCATAAAGAAAATGTTTTTCTAAACCTTCATCACACCAGACCGCATCTCACCATCTCCGAACAATCATTAATTAATGATGAAAGAAAACATGATTTATACAAACTATCGTCATTTCTATTCCTAGAGAACTGATTGAAGGTACTTGCAGCATATTGTACCCCGGCAGACGGACCCTCCATGCCGTAAATTTACTTTAAATTATATATTATGTAATGTTTATAACTTTTTTTGCAATTAAAGTATATTATTATTATATTATTATTACTCATTAATTAATGGTCACTAACCACCACACATTTTTATTTATGTACAATTTTTCTGAATGTTAGACAGCCACTATGCGATTGTCTGAAATGTTAGAACTGGTTAGTTTATGCATTTGAAATAAAATTTTGACATAGGAATGGAACGCAGCAGGACACAGAATTAATTCACACAGTAAGTTCTAAAATCAAAAATTTATGTACACTATTTACAATCGAATAAGCTGCAATGAGATTTCTTTCAATCATCTTCAAATATTTCTTTTTTCTGTTGTTTCAGATCCATCTCGAGGATTAACTGAATGTTTTTCAGTATTTCCAACTGTTTTAAAACTCCTGAAAAATATCTGTATTAATGAAAAATGTAATTTGCGGATGAGATTTAGATTTAAGATTATATTGTGGATTAGTTGTGTGATATTTTGATGTTTATTCTTTCTTTAAACCAGTTTATGGCTGAGAAGCAAACATATTCTGGTCCATTTATATGTTATAAAAATAAATAAAATTTGTTTAAGCTCTGTTAGATGCTAAATATAGAAAATAACTTTTTATCCTTTTAGCTCATCATTTAATCAGACTTAATCTCGATTATCAATTTTTCTTTGTAGGCAAAAGATAAATAATACAAAATAATAGTACATAATTGAATTTTTCTTTTAAATCTTACCAATTTCTTCATGATATGCCATTTCTCGCCCTTTCTCGATTCCTTTTTTATAATAATCAATTCTTTCTTTGTCCAGCTCATCTTTAGATTCGTTCAACGCCTTTTTCAAGTGATCTATTACTTCTTTTTGCAATTCAATTTCTTGTAACATGTCCTCCTACAATTTGTGCATTATTCAATCGTCTCTCTTCATAAGAAAAAGGGCCTGTTTTACTTGCTGTTTCAAAAGTTCCGCTTTTTTAATTTTCGATCGCTTTTTTTGCCGGAACATGGCATTGAATCTGTCGACGATGTCTTGTTTGAATTCCATCAGCTCTTCGACTTCTTTCTCCTTATCCTCAAGACGGGACTTCAGTTCGGATATAATTTTTGTGAATTTGGCCCTTTCCTGAAAATTGACATGTTGCATTTGATTTATCGAATGCTGATTCAATGTTAAAAAAAAGTCAATGGCACAAGGTTTCGCGACTGTAAAGAAATTATGACTGATAAAATTTTTTAAATGACTGACCCATTTTATGGCTTGGTAAACAAATAATTCTTTGTTTTGAATAACAACTAATTTATAGGAATATTCCAGAGCATCCAAAATTTTTTTTAGCTTTAATTACCTTTGCCTATAATTAATAAATAAAACAATGATTTTATAGAAGTGACCATATTGGCCGAGTCGTTAGGGTATTGAATACTGGCTCAACTCATGGAATTTTAATTGATAATAATATATAAAAGGTGGTAATAGTAGCTTGACCTCTTGTCTGCGATGCCTAACTGGTAGTTTGATGTTAAGCCCTGTTGCAATTGCTAATTTTTTCAAGCAAAATGGCAAAATATGGCTGAAATATCTTAAGAAATTGATTTAATTTAGTGTTTATGCTTAAATTAATGTGTGATCTAACTTGCAATTTAATAAATTTAAATACAATATAAAAATTGTTCTATGTACAGCAAAAGAAACATTTTTTTATTTGCTATAAAATATACAAGACTCAGATTAGGAGTAAAGATTATTTCAAAGGTTTTGTAAATAGAATTGGATGTTCTTATCCTAGCCAATGTAGTGTCTCAGTTTCACTGAATCAGTCTCAACTCTGCGAAAGGAATGATAACATATTCACCAGTGTGATTTCAGCACAGATAGGCCAACTCCGCCTAGATAATCGTAAATTTGCAACTAATTTAACTGTATCTTTCCAACCCACTTATCTTGATAAAAAAACAAACCTTTGTGTAATTTATATTCTGTTTACTTTGGTCATATCTTAAGAGTAGACATTACCTGGACTATCATTTTATCGCTTTCGTCATTCAACTGGGATTGTAGCTCTTCGAAAGCATACGCCTGAAAGGAAACAGTGAATTGTTTTTTTATATTTTCAATGTTAAATTTTTCGGATTACATTTTCATCCAGCTGTCTGGATTTCTGTTTAACGCTTCTTTCCAGATCTCTGATCCTTTGTTTCGAATCTTTCATCTCTTCCTCTAGCTCCTTAAGAAAAACAGTCCATGCAATTTGTATGGCTCCACTGGACTCAGCATTGATCATTTGATGAAGTAAGTCTATCATGGAAGAGTGTCTGTGAAAAAAAAATAACAAGTTATATAAAATAGTTATGCAAAATCTTTAACCAATTATCAAAAAATGAAGAAGCAGAGGTATTAAAAAGAAAAGTAATAAAACCTCTAGACTTTTCGTTGGTGCTGATTTCTAAAAAAACATATCAAAATACAACTCACAGCCATGTAATTTGTGTAGTTATCCAAAAAATTTATTTAAAAATTTAAGCAAAAATTTATTTGCAAGTTATTTGAATTATGAACTGTATAAACAAAATTATACAATTTTAAGGTAAAGTTGTCTTAAATCTTTATAAAAGAGTTGTACAAAAGTTATAAACATAATCATACAACAATTTATAGGCAAAGTTATCCCAAAACTTAAAACAAGGTTAAACTAAAGTTATAAAGAACAATTTTTAAGCAGTTTTCCACTAAGTTGTAAGCATAGTGGACCTGATTAATTATATTATAATACTTATTATGAGTAAATAAAATTTGAATTGGATTTTGGCCTCTTAAGCCTGACATGGTTGCGGTTCGTAAAAATTACCGATCATGACCTTAATTTATTTGCATATCATGGAATCTGTATTATCTGACCTACATCGTTGCTAGTTCTATCTAATAGATGATTTTGTATTTTAAAAACAAAAATAATTGAAACTAAAAGAGATTGTGTATTGTGTTAATGCTTGTTTACCATTTTTCTGAGTATTTAGTAAATTAATTAATTTAGTTAATTCTGTAGTACGGAGTGGAAAACTTACAATATAAACCTGTGTGATATGCGAGAAGCAAGAAACCATTGTAAATAAAAAAAAAAAAAAATACAAATTCACACAAGCATAGAAAATATTAAATTAATATAAATAATTATCAGAACTAAAATGAACAAGGATTTGTATTAATAAATAAATATATTTAAAAAAGTAACTACAAATGTTGCATAAATAAGAAAGAATGAATTTAATAAATTTATTATCTTTGACCTCTCTCATTGTACATCTGCACCTTCTTTGTGGCCATTGTTGGCTTCTTAAAGGACATGAAATCAAAACATATAAAACAGGACTTTTATCTGGCAATAAAAATCCAAAGACTCAGCACAGGAAATGGCAAGAAACTAAAACATACTTGTCAGACCTAAACCATAAGAAGTTGGCGAAAATTTCCAATTCTTCACCCTGCTTTTAGTCCTGATTAACTGCTTATAGTTCGATCTTAAATAGGAGTTTTTTGATTTGCCACAGGACAAAATTCCTTCTTATTATTTTTGTTTCACAGAGACAATTTTTTTTCAATTCAAAGGAGTTAATAAGCTGCCTCTCTCGGTTTATAAACCTGACCAACAATCTCTTTACCCACAATGTACAATTGAGAAAAAATCAAGTTAGAGATGTTTTGCCCATTGAGATACTAAAAAGCAGGGTTATCTAGTCAGATGTATTCTCTAATTCAAAGATTATTGAAAATTGGTTATTTTTGATGCAAAACTAAACTTCAAGAAATCAAGTCAGCATGTTGACAGTTATGAACTTGACCGATTCCCATGCCTTCGGACAGTGAGACTGTGTAGTTTGTATATGAAAAATGGAGGTGAAAAAAGAAATTTTTTTCCCTTTTTCAAAACAAAATGTTTGGGGGTGTCGGTATGACACGGCGCTCATCACTTTAAGGTAAACGTCCTGTGTTTAAATCATGAGGCCCTGCATTTGAACCTGATATACTTACAACATGGGCTTAAAAAAAAAATAAAAATAAAATGTGGAAACGTTCAGAAACATTTTTATCAGAGGTGTAAAAATTTGTGTAATTGGTCTGCTTATCCTTACTGGTTTGGTTCAGTGGATAGGTAGACCAAAGTTATCTGTATATGTATGTTTATATGTCCAAATTACAGGGTTTTCATCCACATGGTGCAGACCACAGGAGGAAATCTCCCAATCAAAATATAATTTTTCTCTTGTTTATTTCAAAATCATTTTCATGTGATTAGATATTCATAAGGCTAAATTTTGTTAAAAGAAAACAAGATGGAACATTTATAATTGTAGTTTAAGAGTATAAAACACACAGGCACAAACAAAAAAATATATGCTTAAAATGAAAAACAATTTTGAAAAACAAAACACTTTCTTCAATAATAAAAGTTTGTGAATGTTCAACTTGGGATTAAACAATCGCTGATATTGATATTCCAATAATATTTCAATTGCTGTTAATTAGTAACAAGTGCCGACTAATTAGTCTTAATAAAAATGGTTATGAGTTACTGTTTGGGAGTAAAACTATCCTTTTGAATTATTACTCTAATTAAACTTTTCATTATGTGGATAAAACTTTTCAGAATAATGTTGTAAATATTAAAGATGGCCGATATTAAAAGGTGATTTTACAAGTGCAATCACTTCTTTTATTTTAATCAGTAAGATTTTTCCATGTGGTCTGCAGGGTAAACCTGTAATTTAATCTGTCACAGACCAAACCAGTGAGAATACAGACCAAAATTGACTGGTAATGACTGAACTATAATAAATGGGTCAATATGATTTTATCGCAACTAAAAGAAAAATTATGACAATTTTTTAAATATAAAGCATTTAAGTATTAAAATAATTGTCTAAAACAAAATATAATCAATGTTTTTGATTTTAGTCAAGAATTTATTAGGGAAAAAAGACATGTTGTTAAGGCAAGGAGAACAGTTCTTTATCCAAAAAGGAGTTTTCATCCTTGTTTCAAATTTTAGAAATCACTGTGCCAATGCATGGATATTTTTCACAGTACTTAGTTAAATTTGATCAAAAGTAAAGTTTCGCAATATGGGTGAGAAAGTTATTTGTCAATTCCATCTGGTTTAGAAGGTAAACCTGTAATAGGATAGGCAACCAAAATGACCCGTGATTTGATCAATTTCATTGATTTTAACACAATTACAAGCAAAAGAATGTACTATTTTGGCAATTTTTTAAAAATATTTAAAAGATGAAGCATTTAAGTATTAAAATAATTGTCTAAAATAAAATACAATCAATGTTTGAGATTTGTAAGCTTTATGAGGGATAAGGACACATGCATTTAAGTAAGGAGAACGGTGTACTGATGTTTTTTTCTCCAAAAAGCTTCATGGTTATTTTGAATTTTAGAAAATTTAGAAAGAAACACCTCAGAAATGAAAGGATATTTTTTAACAATGCTTAGTTAAATTTGGTAAAACACAAAGTTTTGCACTTGGGAGTAAGTTCTTATTTTTCATGGATTCTTTTTTTTTACTATTACATTACAATTAACATGCTATAAATGGTCTGAAAATTGTTTCTTTTTATCAGATCGAACTTCCATGAATAAAGGATGTTTTTGATAATATACTTGAAAAAAATTAATTTATATTAAAACGTGATAAAAAAAATTATCCACGAATTATAAATAAAAAATACACTGTCTTCTAAAAAATGTTATATAATAGAAATATATAACAGTTATAACAGTTAAATATATATAGTTATATTTGTATAACATAAAATAAAAAATGACAAATATTTTTTACAAAATGGCCATCATGATTGGAGGAAACTAATGGGATATACAAAGATATTTCCTGTTTTTTTGCTCGACCTTTTTTAAAGTAAAGATATTAAACCATGAATAAATAAAATGAATAAATAAAAAAGACAGTGTCTTAAACAAATCTATGTTTATAATAAAAATTATAAATAATAAAATATATACAAAATTATAATCATATAAGTAAAATAAAAAATGACAAATATTTTTATGAAATGACCATCATGATTGGAGGAAATTAATGGAATATACGAAGTTATTTTTTATTTATTTTTTGCTCGTCTATATCTCGTTTATTATTATTGTTATTAAAAAATTAATTAATATTAAAACAGAACATAAACAATATAACTTATATTTTTTTTAGGAAACTACAAATTATAAATAAAAAAGAGTGTCTTATTTAAAAAAATAATTAATATTAAAACAGAACATAAACAATACAACTAATTTAAAAAAAAGTAAAACTATTAAACCACAAATCATAAATAAAAAAAGACAATAAGTAATTTTTTAACAAATCTGTTACTTAATACAAATTTTAAACCGTAAAATGTGTATAAAATTATATTTTTATAACGTACAATAAAACATTACAAATATTTTTATGAAATGGCCATCATGATTGGAAGTAATTAATGGAATATACAAAGTTATTTTTTGTTTTTTCGCTTATCTACATCTAGTTTATTATTATTATTAATTTTTAAGGGCGTTTTAACGGTAAGGTCATTTCACGCCCTACAATGTAAACCCTATTATTATTAATGTTATTAAAAAATTAATTAATATTAAAACAGAACATAATCAATAAAACTTCTGATCTTTTTTTAAAGTAAAACTATTAAACCTCGAATTATAAATAAAAAAGAAAGTGTCTTTTTTTAAAAAATTTGTTACATAATAAAATTTATAAACAATAAAATATAATAAAATTATATTTTTATAACGTAAAATAAAAAATTACACATATTTTTTAAGAAATGGCCCTCATGATTGGAGGAAATTAATGGAATGAACGAAATAATTTTTTGTTTTTTCGCTCGTTCGTTAGTATTATTATTATTATTATTGCATATTGAGTTTATTTGATGTATAATTAATTTATTTACCTTTGCATTGAGCTGAATTTGACCCCGAATTTGATTTGCTTAAACTCGTCGTCGTCGTAGTTCATTGAATCGAATTCTCCAGTCGTCTCGTCGAAATCTAAACAACATCCACTTTAAAACACAAAAAACAACCCCAAAGAACAGAAGTCGCCAAATTTTACCTACAGAGAACAGGCCGTTCCATCTTGCTTTACACAAGCCAAGATTAGAAAAAAAACGCAATAAAGAACTGGCCGTGTTCGGCTAATCGCCGAATTATATAGAAAATACAAATTCAAGTAGCCTACGACGAGAGAACAAATAAAATTGTCATATTATCATATCGAAATTTTCATTACAATTATTTATTTTACGTGACAGGGAGAAGAGCGGTCGAGAGTCGGCCGTCTTACAAAACCAGCAAAGGAAAACTTTGCTTTTTGATTATTCTTTATCTCGGATTAGTTCGTAGATAAAGTTAAGACCAATCCTTATCGAGAAACAGTTTGTGGACAACGATTAATTGACAAGTGTCATAAACAACCAAGCGCCAGGTGATGTGTTTATCATACACTTGACCAATCACTTGTTTCTTACCTAAAGAACTTTATTTTGTTAAATATATTAACAATATAATATTAATATTAAGCTTAAATAGTTATTGTAGAAGGAACAATCAAGACTATAAACTGGGCGAGTCAACATGCTGGCTTGTCTGCGACAAACAAACATTTTGCAAGTGCTTTTCTCCTAACGTTAAAAATAAAAACCTTGTATACTTAGTCGAGTATCTGAATAAACAACTCTGTCTTCTGAAAGTTCAAAGAAGCTCAAAAGGTTTTGATGAAACAATGGTAAACCATCAATCATGTCTCCTTGGAGGTACTAATTTGAAGATTTTTTCAAAAATACCAAATTATTATCACCTGCAAAGTTTTTTTTAGATAAAAGGTCTAATTTGGATGCTGGAGAAAATTTGCCATTGGTCGGAAGGGACATATAATCGTGGTCAGGGTATAAGCAGGGAGAGGCCACGTGCTAACTCTATAAATTTACAAAAAATTTGCCTATGTCAAATACGTTCAATAAGAAGGAATGTTGTACTGCACCAAGTTGATAAAGTTGACTTTAGGTTGATCAGGACTAAAAGCAAGGTGACGCTTATAATTTGATGTTTCGAAATTTTACTTGTGTTAAACATAATCTATTTGCAAGAGCTTGACGTGATTGTTTTGAACAACTAAAAAGCATCGAGTTTTTTTACACACGTAATGATTTTTCTACATAAAAGGTCATTTGAGTTGTAGAGCACGAGCGTCATTGGCCGAAAAGGTCCATAATCGTCGTCCGGGTTATAAGCAGGGAGAGGCCACATGCTAACTCTATAAAATTACAAAAAATTTGCCTGTGTGAAATACGTTCAATAAGTAGGAATGTTGCACTGCACCAAGTTGATACAGTTGATCAGGGATAAAAGCAAGGTGAGGCTTATTATTTTGATTATTCGAAATTTTACTTATGTTAAATATAATCTATTTGCAAGAGCATTGACGTGTTTGTTTTAAACAACTAAAATGCAGCGAGTGTTTTACACACGTAATGATTTTTCTACATAAAAGGTCATTTGAGGTGTAGAGCACGAGCGTCATGGGCCGAAAAGGGCCGTAATCGTCGTCAGGGATATAAGCGAGGAGAGGCAACATGCTAACTCCATAAACTGCAAAAAAATTTGCCTGCGTCAAATACGTTCAATAAGAAGGAATGTTGTACTGCACCAAGTTGATAAAGTTGACTTTACGGTTGATTAGGGATAAAAGCAAGGTGAGGCTTATAATTTTGATTTTTCGAAATTTTACTTGTGTTAAACATAATCTAAGTATTGACGTGTTTGTTTTAAAACTTTGAACGATAAGTTGGGAATACTGAATAAAACACACCGCCTTCTGGAAAAAAAGCCAAAGGGCAAAACAACTCGTACTTTTTGAAAACCCAATTTGAACCACTTGACCAATTTGTACAACTACATACAAGACGACTAAAAAGCATCGTTTTTTACACGGGTAAAGATTTTTGTACATAAAAGGTCATTTGAATTATACAGTAAGAGCGTCATGGGCCGAGAAGGGCCCATAATCGTCAGGGTTATAAGCAGGGAGAGGCAACATGCTAATTACCCAATTACAGTATATAAAAGAAAAGTATAATTTTTTTATATATTTTTGAATGGTTATTTTTATTGCATGAAAAGAAAAATTGTTTGTTCGGGGGTAGTCCCATTTAAATCTTTAAACATAACATTTAAATTATGTTAACTAAAAAGTTGGGCGATGGCGTATTTTTTAAAAATATTTTAATTTATCTCTCGCCATCTCTTTCTCTCTCTCTCTCTTTCTTTCTTTCTATCTATCTCACTCTCATTCATTTTTGTATTGAACTACTATTTGTATCAGAAACGTTTGATGGCTATCAAGTATCAAATAAAAAGGACGTAAGAAGGAGGGCCAAAAAATTTTTTGGTTCCATTAGGCCCAAATTTAGATTTGGAAGGTGTGATTTCATATAATTTTTGTAATTAATTTAAATATATATAGATTGAATATTTGTCTACAGTTTGATCAGAATCTGACCAGGCTGATCTGTTTATTCTCTCTGTTTTGGCCGAACTCATTTCCTCTTGGGGTTTTTGTCCTTTTAGGGTGATATTACTGTAAAACGCTGACTCTTTTTTCTTCTCATCCCGTACGTTACGTTGTGTCTTTTTGTTCGAATCTACTTGATTTAATATTTTACTCGATAAATTTGTTATTTCTTTAGAAAGAATGAGCCATTTTGTTCTTGTTAAAAATAGAAAAAACGTTTAAGAGACTTTTGACTATTGCTTCACCCAATCATAGAGCTAGTCACGAGCTCAAACAAATCCGACCTATTTGAAACGAAGTCTCGACCTATTCACGAATTCGTGAAAGATGAGACGGCCCCGGGGCCCCCGTGTAACTTTATGTCAACAAACAAATTGAACTTTATAAAAAAAAAAAAATCTTGCCCCCTTTAGATTTTGGCCATTTTTCAGTACTAAGGAAAACCGCTGACGGAATCAGGTGTCACAAAACCTCCTCAACCGGGTCGTGTCCTCATTCCATGACCCCTGACAAATCAATTTACTTCATCGGGATCCCTCAGGGTGATATTACTGTAAAACGCTGACTCTTTTTTCTTCTCATCCCGTACGTTACGTTCCGATTCGTGTTTTCAGCGTTTAACCAAAATTGGCCTTTTTTCATCTGTTAATTTGGTATATTTCCATACTACAACTACTTAAAACACTAATAATATGTTTGATACTATAGTCAATATTTTAGGTAAACAAGAGAATCTCTTACAGAAATTTTTCTAGCTTTTCTCGGTGTGGTCTGCTTGGTAGTTTTGGCAACTGGGTTAATTGACTGAATAGTCAGACCAAAATTGCTGCAAATAGACAGTCTGAAAGCTAGGTCAGGGACATAAAGAGGGCGAGTCAACATGTTGACTCTTGATTTTTGACATTTTATCTGATCTAAAAATAAAGGATCCCTAACCATCCATAAATACTTGCAAGTCTTGTAAAACTTTGTATGTCAAGTTGAGAATACATCCGAACAAAAAACTCTGCCCTTTGGACAAAAGCGCCATTGACTGGGAATAGCCATAATTGTGGTCAGGGTTATAAGCAGGGTGAGACAACTTGCTAACTTCATTAAATTGAGATAAATTTGTCTATGTCAAACACGTACAATATGAAGGAATGTTGTCCTAAAGCAAGCTGAAATTTTTTGAAAAATTTGACAACCGTGTGCAATTGATCAGGACAAAAGGAGGGCGAGACATGCTGACTACCTTTACATCGGGACAACCACATACCCAACATCTTTCAAATTTTAAAAAAATATCGAATTTTTATCACGTGTAAAGATTTTTTACATGAAATGTCAAATTTTGGATTTTGAAGCAATAGCGCCATTGACTGGAAAGAGCCATAATTGCGGTCAGGGTTATAAGCAGGATGAGGCAACTTGCTATCTTCATTAAATTGAGAGAAATTTGTCTGTGTCAAATACGTACAAGTCTTTGAATCTAAAGCAAGCTCAAAATTTTTTGAAAAAATTGACAATCATGTGGAATTGATCAGGATTAAACACAATGCTGACTACTTTTACTTCTGGACATCCACATGCCCAATTTCTTTCAAGATTTTTAAAAAATATATAATTTTTACACGAGAAATGATTTTTCTTATATAAAATATCAAAATTTGAATTCAAGAGTACCATTGGCTTGGAAGAGCCGTAATCGCGGTCAGGATTATAAGCAGGGTGAGGCAACTTGCTAACTCTATGGAAATGCAAGAAATTTGCCTGTTGTCCTGCAGCATGTTGACAAACTTGACCTTGAGACTGATCAACCGCTTACGGTGGATCAGGGATAAAAGGAGGCTGAGGCTTACATATTTGAATTCTCGAAATTTTGCCCGTGGTAAACAGAATCTACGTTCTAAAATATCGTCTACTCTTTATGATTGAGAAACAGTCTGATTTAATAGCCTTGATAATTATAATTAAATTTAATAGTAATATTAAAAATATAAAATTTCATTTAGCTGTTTTTCTGTCGAACAATATGTCAGGGTGTTGAATTATATTGCAAGCAATTTTATCACACAGTGACGACTACCAATTCAAGACATTTAACCCGATTATAAACAAAAATAAAACGATTAGAAAATCTGAATCTATTCAGAAATCAAATTATAAAGAGTCGTAAAATAAACTTTTTTTTAGGGGGGCACTTAATATTGTATACTAGGTTGTTACAAAATGCCTTATAAAATAAAAACAGTAAATTCTTAATCAAATATTAATCCTTATTTAACTTTTGCTGTTTACATAATTTGTCATTGTTTACTTTATCTAATCCCTTAGTCAAACTGTACTCAAGCCTTCTTTGCATTTCATTAATTTCAACGAGAATGTCTGGTGTAAATATTGTGATTCGCGGTCTTCTGGAACTCAATCGAAAAAATAAGGGTTCTTAAAAGAACTCAATATTATAGGGTGTAAAGAAATAATACAAGACGATGAATATTGTCCGTGTTTGACTCGGGAAAAATATACGGAAATTTAAGTCAACATGTCTCATTCTGGTTTTAGTGATCATCCTTAACCAGTTGATTCATCAGTAACGGGTAGTTCAATTTTGATTTTCAAAAATTTTGTGTCTTAACGTGTTTTGCCCTTCGAGTTCCTTTCAGAGGAGAAAGTTTCATCTTTTATAGGGCGCTTTTAAGTTGAACTTCCTTCTTTATGAAATGTATGAGAGATCTTAGTTTTCTTTCTCACTACACTATCTTTAAATAGAGCATTTTGTATCTGATTTGACAGGGTATATAAATTTTTCCTTTATGATTGTTACAAAGTCATCTAGACAGTCAATGATCTGAACTGAAAATTCACGAATTTAATATAAAATGACTGATTATATGTAATGCTTTTTGTTAAAAAGTTTGTAGAATAAATTCATGGAATGGAAAAATTTCATACGATATAGAAATGAGAGGTCAAGCAAATTTGACGATTTAGTACTGGCATTGATTTGTTCGTAATATTTTGGGGGTAAATTTACCCTCAAATAAAGTGGTGTTTAATCCTTGCAGTAGGAGGAAATTAGATTTCTTTTCTTTGAAGTCATCATTGAAATCATCATCAATGAAACAGTTTTTGTTCAATGATGCATGACTATTTAAACATAAAACAACGGTTTTATGAAAAAAATATAAATTAAGAAAACAACATTTTAAGATTTTTTAGAAATCGCTTTTTGAATGTATTAACTAGTTTGTAATAAATAGCTTTTTTCCCGTTAATTTAAACCTTTTTAACTTCAAATTAACCTTTTTAATTTCAAATTAACTGTTTTTTTAACTTCAAATTAACGGTTTTTATTTTTTTTTAATAAATAACGCTTTTTAATTTCAAATTCAGCCTTTCTTTAAAACATTAAAAAAACTTAGGAGATGGTGGAAAATATAAGCATGCAAAATAAAATTAATTACAATTAAAATTATTTAAAATTAAAAGTGTATAATATTATGGCATTTCCCGTCAAATTAATCCTT